GCGGGGCGTTTACAGGCCGTGGATGGAGAACACTTATTCTAAGAATGGGCTTCAGCTGTTTGTAACAGCCTGAGAGAGAGAAGGGAGAGGGGGACAGAGGGAGGGAGAAAAGGAAAGAGAGAGGGAGTGGGGGAGAGGGGGAGAGAGGGAGAGAGGGAGGGGGAGAGGAGAGGGAGAGGAGGAGAGGGCAGTGGGGAGGGGCACAGTGGGGAAGGGGACGGGGAGAGAAGCTCTTTGGCTTTGGTAGGGAATGATGTCAGATCACTGAGATTGAAGAGTATGGTGCAGGATAGAGCCTGGTGCACGATAGGCTGTGTGGTGGGATGTGCTGGCACCTGTGATGCGGTACTGTTTGCTGTCTCTGTGTGAAGTGTCTCTGAAAGCACACGAGGAATGCCCGTCCTGTAGGCACCTGTGGGGAGGGAACAGGTGGCTGGGGGTGGGGCCGGGAGACATTTTACCCTGCGCCTTTATACTTTCTGATTTTTTAATCATGTGAACATAGTGTTTTTTCAGAAAAGCAAACAAAATAAATGAAGGGCTTAATATAGTTTTTTTAAAAAATTTTTTCCCCTCTATCTTTGTCCTTCTCTGTCGTCCTTATTCCCACGTCCTGTTTCTCCAGTTATCCTGGAGGGTCTCAGGAAGCTACTTCAACAACCTGGACTACTTACTGCAGGAGAAGAGGTGAGCACAGGGCGCGGCTTGTCGTGGGATGCTTGTTTCTGCAGGGTTGGCAGCAGTCCCGGGACTCACTGCAGAGTCTGGTCAGAGGGCAGCAGCCTCCCACCCAGACTCAGCCTGACCTGTGTGCTCTGATCAGTAACAGGCACGGGGGACGGTCGCCAGGGCAGGGGGTGACATCACGAAGGCAGAGAGTCCCCAGACTCCTACCACAAACAGAGCCCTCCTTCTGGGTCCCCTCTCCACTTTGGCTCCATTCTGCCCAACTCCTGCCAGTCCTAGGGTGTCTCCTCCCACTCAAGGGTTACGTGAGAGGGAAGTGGAAAAGCAGACCGCTTTGTGGCTTAGGGTTACAGCCTGGCTGTGGCTGGAGGGTCATGCTGGGCAGACGGGACTTCCTAACATTTCTGCTGCCACCTTCCTCCCCAGCACGCAGGCATGCTTTGCCCATTTTCCCATCCACTCTGAGTTTCACACTTGCCTTCTCCCCGCATATTAGCTTCTAACTAGCTGTCTCCCTGTCTGCCCTAAGTGGTTTCCAAAGACAGTGCTGAAGGCAGCAGTCACCTCTAATGAGATTGGAAATCCCTAGGGAGGTACAGGTGGCTGAGGACTTCATGGGGGCACGCTATTTGATGGCACGTGAGCAGGTTATTCACACTTCCTAAGTCTTTGTCCTGTCCTGTTGTTGTGTCGTGTTGTTTTTGTTCAGTGCATGTCTATTGTGTTTGCAGAAGTTAAGTGCAGGTGGGGGCAATGCCACTTGGGAACACCCAGCTCTCCTGGTGGGAGGACCGATGCCCTCTCTTTTGACCCTCCTCAGGGTTCCCAGCCCTGTTGGCAGGGAGCTCCTCATGCACTGGGATGAATTATTATTCAGTCTGTTCCTGCCCCTCTGCCCCGCCATGGAGTCATGTCATCTGCCTCTGCTGTGCAGCCCCTCTGGGCTCCTCCGACCCGGGGACTTGCGTTGTTTAGCTCCTTCACCTCAGTAGATTTTCTCCCATTAGATTGTACGTTAGGGAAGGGACCATGCCTATAGATTTCCACGGTGCCCAGCATGGTGATGTACATTTAGTAGATGCTTGAAATTATTGGCAGGAAAATGATCAGCTGGGGCCTCCTCGTGCCTGCTTGTCGGTGTGCCTGGCATTGGGAGGGTCCTGCTCTGTGCTGGTCAGCTCGGGCTGCTGTAACAGGATGGCACACACTGGGGCTTAAACAACAGTTATTTCTCCCAGTTCTGGTGGCCGGCAGCCCAGGATTGAGGTTCCGGTCAGTCGGTGCCTGGTGAGGGCTCTCTTGCTTCTTGCTGTGTCCTCTCACGTGGCAGAGAGCACAAGCTCTCCGGTGTCTCTTCTTTTAAGGACGCTAATCCTGTGGGATCAGGGCCCGTCCTATGACCTCATTTTACCTTAATTACTTTCTTACTCCAAATACATCTACACTGGGGAGAGGGCTTCAACATAGGGATTCTGGGAAGATAGACACTTAGTCCACAGCATGCTGTGTGCTACGCCACACCAGGCTCTGGGTAGTGGAGCTGACGGCGCAGCCTCTGCTTCCCTGGCAATTTAGCATCATGATCTCATACTCCCCACACTGTCTCATCGCCACGGAGGAGCCCAGAAGAGGGACACCTAACGTGGAGTCGGAAAAGGCTCCCAGATGTGTCCTTGTCACCGAACCTTGCAGGAAAAGTTTGGTTTGGAGGGAGGGGGATGACTACACATGTAAAGGCGGGTAAGACAGACTGTGCCGGCCAGGACCCACATTCTCAGTGCAGAGGGGTTGGAGGGGCGAGGCAGGAGATGCAGCCGAAATAAGATGTGCAGGGGGCTGGAGCCTGAGGGGCCTTGTTGAACCCAAGGCTGAGTTGTGGGAGAAGCTGAAGCAGGCAGAAATATGTTTTCTCTTGTTTAAGAAAGCGCAGGCTGCATATGGAGAAGGGATGCAAAGGGCGAGAGAGGTACAGTGATGGGGGCTGAGGGGGCCTGGGATGGGGCGCACAGCCAGGAGGCCCCTGGCAGGAGGGCGATGGGGCTTCTGGTGGGTCTGGTGGCCTGGGTGGTAGACACGGGTCATTGGAGGGGCCCGGTCACATTCAACTGGAAATCACTCAGTGAGTGGCTGGCTAGCAGGATCTGAGCTCACAACAGGCCTGGGGTGGAGAGAAAATGTTAGAGAACTGAGGACCCATGGGCACAGCCAGGATGGGCACCTGGAGGGGCCAGACAGGGACTGGGGAGGCTCCCAGGGCTTTCTCCACAGCCTGGGCACGAGGACAAGGAAGGTGCGTTGGTTTGCAGGGCGGGAGGAGGGTGAGGGTCGGGGCTCTGGCTGGGTAACAGGTGTGTGGGGCCTATTGTGGGAGTCAGTGGAAAGAGGAAGTGAGGCACGCAGGGGCTAGTGGTGGAAAACAGAGCCCCAGGAGCCAGGCGGGAAGGGTAAGGAGAGAAAGGGAATGAGTTGGAGCAGAGGACTGCCCTAAGTGGCTGTAGTCAGGCCGTGCCGGTGTCGGGGATGCCGAACAGCCAGGGCACAAGCTCCTTCCTGGTCACGTGGCTGAGGAGCAGCAGGGCTAGCGCTCGGCCTTGGTGCGTTAAAAACAGAGTGAAGCCGAGTGCTTGCCTGCTGTCCCTTGAGAGGCTGAGGTGGGCAATCGCTTGAGCCCAGTCATTTGAGGCTGTCGTACACTTTGGTCACATCTATAAAGAGCCGCTGCACTCTGGCCTAAGCAACACAGTGATGTCTGGTATCAAAAAAAAAAAAGGGTGCACAAGTAAGGATGCGTTGGGAGTTGTGTGGTGAGAACCGTCTCTTTCTGGCCCGCCTGCTCCTCTCTGCTCATTTGGGGAAAGCACAGTCTATGTAACGCAACCCATCCCCATTGCCTTAAAAATCTGTGTGAGCAGCTTTGCAGGGAGACCAGCCAGGATGGCGCGGCCCTCTGGCCCCGAGGTCTTGCCGTGTTGGTGGGAATCCCTGCAGCCCAGTGACAGGGCTGCACAATGGGGAACAACACTGACCCCCGACTCTGGCCCTTGACTTCCTGTAGGGAACAGGCCCTGGAGCAGGAGCGTGAGAGGCTGCTTCTGCAGGAGTGTCTCAATCTCAACTCCTTGGATCTTGATGAAGATGAAGTGCCACTCACACCCGAGCACAGGTGAGGGACAGGGGCCTGGCACCAGCCTCTGAAGGGGAAGGACCAAGGTGCCAGCCCCCCTCTGGTTTTGGACAGAGTTTTGACCAAAATGGTACAGCAATTTGTGTACTATTTGTGAATTCTAAAGCTACCTCCTTTTCTTAAAGCCACATCCATTCATTGATTCGAGAAATACCTGATCACCTACTGTGCATCAGGGTCTCATTTGAGCCTTTGCCATGCAGGGATCATAAAACACAGCTTGCTCTGCCCCAATTATCTGCCCAAATTCATGGAACCAGATCTCTTGGGAAAATAACTACACAAAACCACGATCTAAATGAAATCTGCTTTCAAGGGGTGGTTATGACCATGTGAGATTTTTCATCTTCCCCTGACTGGAGAAGAGAAGGTAGCTCTGAGTGGGGGCCCTGATTTAATTGGGCCATTGGCTGGAGGGAGGGCTGGCTTCGTCTCTACCTAGGAGCATCAGAGATGCCCAGGACCACAACCGAATCCATCTTCAGGGCACGCTGTTCTCCATCTGTCTTGGTCTGTTGTGGCTGCCAGAACAAAGGCCCATAGACTGGTGGCTTCTGAGCAGCTGAAGTCTGTTTCCCACAGTTGTGGAGGCTGGAGGTCCGAGACCCAGGAGCCAGCAGGGTCAGGCCTGGTGAGAGCGCTCTTCCAGGTTGCAGACTGCCTAAGTCTCTGTCCTCACGGGACAGAAAGAGGCAAGAGAGCTCTCTGGGGCCCTTTCGTAAGGGTGCCGATCCCATTCATGAGGGCTCCACCCTCGTGCCTCATCACCTCCCAAAGGCCCCACCTCCTAATACCTTCACCCTGGGGGTGAGGATTCAACACATGTATTTTGGGGAGACACAAACATAAAGCTTGTAACGCCATCCATTCACCCCCTTGTCCATCTGTTCATCCATTCACCCCGCCGACATTTACTGAGTGCCAACCATGTGCCAGGCTCTGCTGTAGCTTCGGGATGTGGCGGGAACAAAACCAGACAGATCTCTGCCTTCCCGCTGCTTGAGTTTTCCTTCTGGAGACAAGCAGTGAGTGAGATCAGTGAAGCTGTGCCACAAGGCTCCTGAGAAAGGCTAACGCTGGGGGCATAAGGAGTGCTGGGAACGGTATGGGCTCTGATGATTTAGGCTCTGATGATGAAGGATGTGGGCTCTGGGAAGGGTGTGGACTGTGATGAGAGCTCAGGGAAGGCCTTGTGAGCAGGTGTTTTAAGTAGCACCTCGAGGAGGTGAGAGCCAGTTCCAGGGACCCTGCCGTGGGAGCGCACCTGGTGTGTGGGAGCCTGGAGGAGGGGGCTGGTGGGGGATAGGAGGTGAGGGAGACCAAGGTTAGGCACTGGCTCTTGGAGCCTTTCCTCTGAGTTAATCGGACACGTGTCTGCACAGGACCCTCTGGCTGCTGTGTTGAGGATAGACCAGTTAGATGTGGAGGCCAGGGCAGAAGGGAGGGATCAGGAGCAGAGGAGGCCTTGGCAGGAATCCAAAAGTAATGATGGTGCTTGAGGATGGGGTAGACGCTGAAGAGTGGGCAAATTCTAGGTGTATTTTTAGGGTAGAAATGACAAGATTTGCTGACAAATGGTTGGAAGGTATAGGAGAAAGAGAGGAATCAAAAGGGACCCCGGCAGCTTGGGTCTGAGCAACTGGAAGGTTGGAGTTATCTTTAAATAAATTGGGGAGGCTGCGCACGGTGGTTCATGTCTATAATTGCAACACTTTGGGAGGCCGAGGCAGGAGGATTGCTTGGGCCCAGGAGTTTAAGCCCCAGCAACATAGGAAGATCTCGTCTTTTCCTAAAACATTTTTTTTTAAATTACCCAGATGTGGTGGCACATGCCTGTAGTTCCAGCTACTAGAGAGGCTGAGATAGGAGGATCTCTTGAGCCTGGGAGGTTGAGGCTGCAGTGAGCTATGATCGCACCACTGCACCCCAGCCTGAGTGACACAGCAAGACCTTATCTTAAAAAAAAAAAAAAAAAAAAGGCCGGGCGCAGTGGCTCACGCCTGTAATCCCAGCACTTTGGGAGGCCGAGGCTGACTTCCTGTAGGGAACAGGCCCTGGAGCAGGAGCGTGAGAGGCTGCTTCTGCAGGAGTGTCTCAATCTCAACTCCTTGGATCTTGATGAAGATGAAGTGCCACTCACACCCGAGCACAGGTGAGGGACAGGGGCCTGGCACCAGCCTCTGAAGGGGAAGGACCAAGGTGCCAGCCCCCCTCTGGTTTTGGACAGAGTTTTGACCAAAATGGTACAGCAATTTGTGTACTATTTGTGAATTCTAAAGCTACCTCCTTTTCTTAAAGCCACATCCATTCATTGATTCGAGAAATACCTGATCACCTACTGTGCATCAGGGTCTCATTTGAGCCTTTGCCATGCAGGGATCATAAAACACAGCTTGCTCTGCCCCAATTATCTGCCCAAATTCATGGAACCAGATCTCTTGGGAAAATAACTATACAAAACCACGATCTAAATGAAATCTGCTTTCAAGGGGTGGTTATGACCATGTGAGATTTTTCATCTTCCCCTGACTGGAGAAGAGAAGGTAGCTCTGAGTGGGGGCCCTGATTTAATTGGGCCATTGGCTGGAGGGAGGGCTGGCTTCGTCTCTACCTAGGAGCATCAGAGATGCCCAGGACCACAACCGAATCCATCTTCAGGGCACGCTGTTCTCCATCTGTCTTGGTCTGTTGTGGCTGCCAGAACAAAGGCCCATAGACTGGTGGCTTCTGAGCAGCTGAAGTCTGTTTCCCACAGTTGTGGAGGCTGGAGGTCCGAGACCCAGGAGCCAGCAGGGTCAGGCCTGGTGAGAGCGCTCTTCCAGGTTGCAGACTGCCTAAGTCTCTGTCCTCA